AAACTCGATATGCCCCTTCCGTGGGAAAGCCATCAGAGAAGAAGAGGCTTTCTGAGTAACAACGACTTCGTCACCACACTAGAACCCGCTTGACCAAGACAGCGCCTCGTCTCCACAGTGTCGTGGTTGTACCACCCACGAACAAACACTTCTGGGGATACCACTAAAGGATGGACTCTGCCCCAGAGGCCTTACATCCTTATGCTCCGGCAACGTTGTCTCGAGCTGCCACTCCACCACCACCGATATACTCCGCCTCCAGAATAGTTTTAGCCCAACTGGCTAGGAATAAATACAGGTTATTTAGAAGAGCAAGCGCTCCTCCAGTAACAACTCACCAGAATTCGATGAGGCGAGCAGGAACAATGAAACCGACTCAAACAAAATCTTCTCCCTCCGCAAGCTTTCTACCCATGCACTGAGACCCCTCAAGGTAGATCCAGGCCACCTAGGGTAGAAGTCACCTGAACTGCTGAATCCACGGTGTCATAGCCAAGTAAGACGGTGGTTGCTTGCGAGGCTTTCTGTGTGGGACCATCCTCTTGCCCGAGCCTGACGCGCAGCCCAGTTACTAACCAGCCTGTCTCAGGGCCACCACTAATTTCTGCGTACTAGACACTACTTCCCGGCCTTACAGGGCTAGGAAAGTATCACCCATTGGTAACGAACCTCCATCACAACAAAATCTGCACGTAAATGTATAGGTAGTTAATCTATTATTTGATTGCAGTTCCAGTTGTATCATATGCATGACATTGAGAAGTACTATTACTAACCTTATTTATAATGTGTTGTGCATACAATTTCATTTTTATTTAGCGAGTCAGGTGTCGCGTTTTGGAAGTATCATTTTCCGATCTAGCGATCTTTATGTATTGCGTACCGTTTTTTAAATTTTATGCTCAAAAATGGGTCTTTTCGTATCGCGTACCATTTTGCGTGCTGTTCTACGTACGCTACAGAGTGCGTATACATACTATGATTTTTCAGCAACCTTATGAGAATTAGATAATTACCAAAAGTCATAGTTTGTGGACTTTTTTATAAAATGTACATATATTTTCGAAGATGACGATGTCGTAGGAAAATGTGGATTGGTCGATCTTAAGATACACTCAGAGAAAAGAGCAAGACAAATTTGATAGCCACTAACAGGAGAACCTTTTCACAAACAAAATAAAGTTGACACTCTTATCAAAGAAAAAGAGAAACAAGGATTTTTTGAAAGATCATCATGTACTTGGTGTTCTGCCATCATCTTCAAAAAAAAAAAAAAAAGGTTCTACAAGATTTTGAGTTGACTTTTAGAAAGTAAATACAACATTGATCTAAGATTTATAGTTTTTACCACAATCTAATGATACATTGAATTGATTACTAGAAAAACCGTGGTTTACTACATTTAATTTAAAGAGTGGCTACTAGCAAGTGAGAATCAAAAATTGAAATATATATTGTATCCAAAGGAAAAAAATAGAAATATCCAGAAAAAATCAAGACTGTTTCAAAATCGCTGATTCTAAGAACAAAAAAAAACGTTCATTAGTTTAAACGATTTAGCTTGTACTGTAAACGATTCATCATAGGCTTTCTAAATGTGGCTTGACCTTTCCATAGTCTAACATTAAAAAGGAGTGGTTTAAATGGTGTTTAAAAAGTCAGAAAGTATTTCTAAAGTTGAAGGACGTTCTTACATCTCCTCCCATTTAAGCTCATCCTTGATTTAATTGTGTATTCATCTTTCATACTAACGCATCTTATCTCGGCATTGGCTTAGTTTTGTCTTAAAGTCTAGAAGGTAAGGTAAAAATTATAGCTAATTATGGTTAATTATATAGTCTGTTGGAGAAAAATTATTGTGTAACTTGTCAGGAGTTTTTAGCGTTTGTTGAGTCAGTAAGGCATTTTGGTTGTTACGTACACGGAGAGGAATTCATAGTTAAAACAAATTATCCCGACTCAATTTAGTTGATATCATTGAAAGAGCTGAATGGCCAGCTAGCTTGATGGGTTGGATTATTAGGTTAGTGCAAATTTAAGATTTTTCTTGAGAAAGGAAATATTCACGAAAATGCAGATGAATTATCCAGATGACCATGTAAAAAAAACTGCAAGTACTGCTATCGGGTTAAAAAAAGCTTAAAGCAGAGGACAAGACAATTGGTCAAATCGTTTTTGTTGAACAAACAGGATCAGACTGGCAAAAACATCAAACTATTGACAATGAAAAAACTAACACTTATCCAGACAAGCAGTAAATTTCAGCAAAAGACTTACTTACTAACGTATACTGCAGTATACTTAGTCAATAGGATGTATTTGTTATTAAGAATAGTTTTACGTAAAGAATGGATCTTACCAAAGTTAAAGACTAAGACTTTACAATTGGTCATTGTGGAAAAGACGACAGACAAAGTTCTACAAGAGAGTTTCTAGAAGAACACTTTAAAATAAACAAAACACTAAAAAGGATTAAAAACAGGTTCAACTGGGCCAGTTGCAAGAAGTATATTGAGAATCAGTATTACACATTTATGACTTGTGTTGCGAAGAGGGTTCCATCAGATAAAAAAATTAGTGAAATGAAACTTTATAACTCAGGTGCACCTTTTTAGACACTTAAAATAGATATTTGAGGTCAGTTCCCAACATCATGGTTAAGTACCAATCATCTTATTGTCGAGATAGAAAGTTAAACTAAATAAGTAGTAAATTCAGTAACTAACTGCTTCTTTCCCCACCTCTCTCAGCCTTCCCTTATAATTTAAAGATCCTCCCTCCAGTTTTTTTGGTCTCAAACCCACGGCATTCCAAATATCTCTGGCTATAAAGCTAGCGTGCTAACTACTAAGCCGTTGAAGCTCTGAGAAAAGTTATGTAAAAATTATAGAATACCATTAATTAATTAAGCATTAAGATCCTAATATATCAGGAAAAATGAGACTGTGATTGATTTCGAAATGAATTTCAAGGATCTGTTTGGAAAAACTTAATAGTAGTTAAGATAAAGTTTAAAATAGAATTTTTATTAATTTACTTAATACTTGAGATGGTTGTAGAATATGGCAATAACATTTTTGTAGAAGATATTAAGTTTTTAGTTTTTGTTAAAACAAGAATAAAGTATATCTAGTAATAGTTTGGACCGAAATTGCTTTAATTTTATTCCCTCAAAAGATGTGAAGTCATAGGACACTTTACTTACTATTAGATTTAAACGTAAAAATATATTTCATAGGAACACAAAACTGTTGACAAAAAAATTGCGATGACTAAATGTCCATGTTTTGGACGAAGCTTCAATGACTTCTAAAAAAGCTTTGAAATAAGTAAATGAAACTTTTAACATTAATTATATAACAATTTTCCGTTCGATTAAAAATTATTTATTTTAGGAGGCAATTTTAGACAGATTTTTTTAATAATAAAGCATAGTAGTAAGAGATCTATAATAAGTAAGACTATAAGGTATTAACTTCTATGAAAACATTTTAAAATGTTGATATTAAAAAATAATATGCAGTTTAAAGACTAATAATTTTCATTGTTATCAATTGACATTAGAATGGTACCATCAAGTCTTTTGAAAATTCTCAAAGATGAAAAACTGATAACGCTTGCAACCAAATTTATGATAATGGTAAAAATAGCTGCCTAAATTAAGTAATTTTAACATTTTTCAACAAACTTTCATATACTTCGAACAATAAAATTTTTCATTTTGTTAATGGGATAAACGATTCTATTAGCTAACAAAAACTCAAAATAACATAAATGAAGAAAAAATTGTATTAACAATAATTTATTTATCTGAAAAGTTACAAATCAATCATGAATAAATTAATGTTTATGAATACATACAAAAGCTGCTCTGCTAATATAAACGCATTTCCAAATTAAAAAAAATATGTACCAAAAAAAATGTATTTTATTTAATAACTTACTTAATTTAAAATAAAACCGAATGAATTAATACACACTAAATGAACCTTAACATTGAAAATAAGTTACAAACTGAACGGTATAATGAAGTTATTGGTTTTTCTATGTCGAGCCTGCTTATAGCAGAGTGAGTAAGGGACTCGCTAAGTATGCAGAAGGTCGGGGGCTCAAATCTCTTTGGGAACTGTTTTGTTTTTTTTTAATTTTTTTCCTTTTTTTTTTTAAAATTGGTTTCACCAAAAAAAAAGTATAATTCAAAATTTAGAGTATGGTATGGTGCAATGATGTTGGGTGGTATGGTGCGATGAGGTTAGATGTTGGATGATATGGGAGGACCGCAAGTACGTCAAGAGGGGTGGGGTGAAGGGGGAGAATCAAGCGAAATCCACTTTCACTAATCTGAAATCGTTAACTTACTCCGTTGTGCCTATAAAAGTATAACATCAAAAAGATTTGGGACCTTGATCACTGTCATGAGCTATAAATATTTCTAGGTAACTATCATTTCCGTGTACAGTCAAACACTCATTCTCCTTGCCTCTAATTCGCACACTTTACTAAACAGCCTCGTAGAAGTAATATTTTAATTAAAGATACCTTTTTTAAGCTCACGCTTTATGGCTTCTTCACAAAAACTCTTGTTATGTATTACAGCTACATAGCTTTTCTCCTACACGATACACAGTTTTTTTTCTGGTTTTGATGCTAAAAAGTTAAAACTAAACGAACATCATTAAAAGGCAGATTAAAACGCGTTAACAATCAACGTATACCTATAAGGACTGTTTTACCGATGGCTTAAAATTTTTTCATGCACGCTTAAAAAATCGTGTGCAAGTTAAAGTCCGTTGAGCCACAAGAGACGGATTAAAGTCAAGTTTCTACTCATGGCATGTCTAGTAATGTTAAGGGAAATTTAATAAGTTCATAAGAATGTCCTTATCCCTTTAAGATAAATTCATAAATTTTTTTTATATTTAGTCATATAACAATAAAATGCATTTTATAACCTCTAGTTTTACATGAGCTCTTAATTGAAAAAATTTTTTTCATGGCAGATAACAGATATGGTGAATCTCCATTTTTTGGCACTACTAGAAGCATTCTTAGATTGTCACACAACTTTATTGAATAAGCTTCTACCAATATGGAATTTACTAATATTTTCACCCAACATCAAGGTGTGGTTTCTTTATTGTGTGTATGTCTTTTTTATAACCATTCAGAAACTTATACAAAGAATACTTATAATTCTTCTAGATGCCAGTACATGTACTTTTACGGCTACGACACTCCCGCTACGCATACTCACATGCCAATTTAGACATGGATTATTCTGAACGAGGGCTTAGATCATACTATTTCCATTGGTTACGAAAATTACAGTTCAAAATGGGTCAAATAGAACTGCAATCTGCTAATGTAACGCAATTTTATTCAATATAAAATTATTATTATAAAAGCTACAAATTTAACAGTTTTACAGGCGTTTTATTGTGCATCTGATGAATTGAAAAGAAGAGTTACCAAGAATTTACTGTTAAACATGTATCGTGTACTGAATAATAAATTTTGACAACGAATCATCATTAGGAACTTTTGTCATACAAAATGTATACCTAGCTTGTATCAAGTAAAGCGCTTAACTTTCTTCTAACATTAGACTTTGAAACACAATGGTTAAATAAAATTAATTTAGCCTTTTTCTGCAGCAAAAGAAAGTCATCCCATTGTATACAGGCAAAGATATTTATGAAAGACCAAAGATCATACGTATTTATAGTAGTGACAACAATATGAATTTAATCTTTAATATGTTTTAAATAATTAAATTTTTTTTTTTTAAATCCATGTTCTTAGAATACTAAGATAACCTTGCCACTAAAAACTTGCAAATCAAATAAACTTATGATTTAAGTGAATGTTAAAGATTAACATATACATAAATGATAAGTTTATAATGGAACTGTAAAAATACCTTACTAACATTGTAATTTAGTATAAGAAAACATCATTTTACTAATTTATTCTTTAAACCGTCTTCAGAAGTGATAGGGAATGTATTACTATTTAAACAGACTTAAATCGTTAGCAAAGAAAATACAAAAAATGCTTGAAAACCTACTTAACTGTAAATCCAGTTTCTAAACTAATTATGGGAAAAGTATAAGTTTTTCTGAGTTATTAGATTTACAATCCAACATTTAATGATAGAAGGTGGAAGCTCACGTACTTTAGTTTTTAATTTTACTATGTAAAAATTTTAAACTTAATGCATTTTCATAACTTACATTAGTTAGGGTTAGACAAATTTTTAACATACCTCAATTTTTTTGTACTTCTAAAAATGCTGATTATAAAATATATAAAAAGATTTTGCATTAACGTAAATTGAAAAAAAGTTTGAAAGAGATAAGCAAATTTAAAAAATTAGTGAATATAGATTAATTAGTTTAATTTATGCGTCTTGGTTTTTTTTATATAATGTGTTATGAAGTCAAATCGAAAATATACATAAGCTTTTATAAGCACGCTTTGTACGATAGCCATTTTTAATTTCTTGAATACTCACAACTAAAGAGAATAATAGTTACCAAAGAAGACCCTAAGAGTTTTTTCTTAAGTAAAATAAGTCATAAAATTACAAAAATTAGCATAAAAAATCTATGACGTTTTAAATTAAATTTTTATCATCTTAATCGAAGTGTTACGTACAATGTCACTATGTAACTATGAAGGTGTGCGCCCACACTGGCGTACGCCTATAAGGTAGGAGAATAGAAAAGAGAGGAGACAGGGAAGAAAGTAAAGAGAGTAAGCAAGAGAGTAAAGGAAATGTTAGCCAGAGACTTAAGAGTAAAAGGATCAGGCCTGCGAGAGTGGAATAAACACGCAACCTCCCTTGAATATAAGTAGTTCTTATAAAATATAAGTTAACCACAAATGGAGCTTTTATTTATTCCTGCAACGAGAAATCTACGTAAAAGCTGGTGTCAGAAGTGGAATACAGACAAAATTTTTTTATGCTCTGTTTTGTGCACGGAAACCACTTTAATTGCCACTTTAATTGCCACTTTAATTGCCACTTTAAACCACTTTGTCTTGAGGAACACAGAAATTTTTTTCTAAAATTAATGAACCTTATAAAGTAAAACAAAACAAAAAAAAGCTAATCGAAGAAAGTATCATAAGTGCCAGATGCCAAATTTAGCGTGTCAAGCATCAAAATAAAGGAAAACTGAAAAAAGCGAAGGACGCAAGAGAGAAATAATCGAAAAAAAAGTTATCTACACTGCTGTGAGGCCAGTGCAGCAGTAAAAAAAAATAATCGCATATGAAGCCAGTGGAATAACATACCAGAATACAAGAGGCATTTACTGATCACTAAATTCAGGAAAATATGGACACAAAATAAACACAGTGCACTGAGCCCAGATAACAGCATAAGACAGGACACTTGATACACTATAAAATAGAGGGAAACAACAAGGAAAAGCAGTGGCAGGTCAATTCACTGAAGGAACCAAACACCAACTTATAGGACCTATATAGGATTATCATCATACTAACTATTAAAACAAAGATCTCGTTAGTTAATTTCTATTAGATTTTATGTACTATACTCATGTATATACTCATGACCCCTGAGAGAAATACGCACTCAGGGAGGTAATGTTTATGCATCGATATTATAACGAAATTGGAAACTCTAACGACATTGGTAGAGAAACATTATTGCACATACAAATACACTGACGAACGTCTCATACAAATAAAAATTTCTAAAATTAACTATTCAATAAATAAAAGAAGAAGATAACCAAAAGCAACAACTGAAAAAAGGCTATCGACTAACGCTAACTGAAAGTGCTCATATTTATCAAGCCCAATAACCCAAAATACACAGTAACTAAGATGTCTTACGATTAAACACAAAAATATACGAGTCGACAAGGCTAACTATATACAAAAAAATAGAGGCAAACAGAATGAGTATCGTGAAAGCGAACACTATATTAAAAGAAGGAGGACGAGAAGACGGTTAGCACACGAACATACACAAGGTAAGATGGGACGACATAGACGATTGCGTGATATCAATTAGCTTAGAACATAATCCAGAATCATTATCAGAGTGGAAGAAGGTGAGTAAGAAAACAATGATGAAGATAATGATCATGATAAAGATAATGAAAAAACTCACACTGATCATAATAAGACAGAAAACGAGTCTGGAAAGTCAGGGAATCATCGTGGACGCAAAACAGCAAGAAATTTCTTCTACGACGAAGCATGCAGCAATCCCAAAACACATTATACATTAGCCCTATTAACCTGAAACAACAGAAGTAGTGCTATGCACGATTTGACAACGACAGCGATCAGCGAAGAAACATGGGCTCAATCAAACACTTGGGAGACACTATCTTTCCCTTAAAACAATGATGCAACAATCAAGAATAATAATTTAATTAGAAATCATAAAATACATAATAGAACAGATACACACGACTTCGTAGACACACATTGTACATACCAAACAGGCAATAGGTACAAACGTACGCAAAATCACGCCATAGAGCTGAAAGAGCATGTGTTAAAGAAAACTCAAATACGTGGGTTACAAAACTCCCTAGCAACATTGAGCAATCTTGTCAACAACTATCCTAAAAGCAAACATGCGAGCACAAGTTGAAGAAATAATGAAAGTTGTCGACACATGAAGCTGCAATGAAAAAGACATCAGGCATGTACAAAAAACTAATAGAATTCAACGCCCTTGTTCTTGACATAGAAGGTGAACCGCTAAAGGCAACAAATTTATTAAAACACAGAATACAAACAACGACAGGTAGACCTATAACTACCAAAAAGCCAGATACCCTCTCAAATTAGGGAAACAGATGCAGACGGAACTGGATAAATTATCAAAGGAAGGTATAATCATGCCACCAAAATCACCATGTCACTCCAACGCATGGATTGTGTGAAAGAACTTAGGCTAAAAAATGAGAAAAAACGCTAGAGAGTCATCACAGACTGTAAATTAGATGGTAAGGCTATTAAATAAGATGGTAATAGGCTCATGCTACCCATTACCATTTCAAAACGAAATGTTAAAAAATATGGAAACCACGCGAAACGTAACTGTAACAGACTTGAAAAGCACATTTTTCCAGGTAGCAATACGTGAAGATGACACACATGAGACAACATTCTCAGGCTCAAAAAGACACTACCAATATAAAAGAATGCTGATGTAATGCTATGGTTTATTTACTAAATACCTCTGTACGAGTGATAACACTAGCGCTTGCAGGACTGCAAGGCCACAAAATTAAGATATACATGGATGATATTTTGGTATTTGGGGAAAATCTAAAATAGCATAGCATCCATAAATGAGAGAGCGTTGCAAAGGCTATCGGGCGCAAATTTAACGATAAAGCTAAAGAAATGCCAAATTTTCAAGCATGAGGTAATGGTACTGGGGAATCATTGTTGAGAACGGAGAAATAAAGACAAACCCTAGACGATTAAGTCCGTAAAAGAATTCCCAAGACCATCAAATACCAAAAAAATACATAATTTCTAAGACTTTCGAGATACTACAGACGGTTTATAAGGAACAATGCAGAAATAGCCCAACCACTTTCGAAGATGACAAAAAAAACTTTTGATTTTAAAAGGGGGGAAGTAGAGGAACAGGCATTTGTAAGACTCAAAAATGCTTTATGTAGCAAGCCACTGTTTGTAGCCCCAGATATAAGTAAACTATTTATCAAAACAACTGACGAGTATCTCTACGCCATTAGAGCAATTTTAAGCCAAGGAGAAATAGGCTGTGATCACCCGTAGAAGCACGCAGCCAGATGTTTGGAAGGCAGCCAACTCCGGTACCTGACATACGATGAGGATGTTTTGGCAATAGTGTACGACAAAGAGCAATTTGAACCATATTTATTTGGTTGTAAATTTACAGTTGTAATAGACCACGAACTGCTCAAGCATTTTCACACATCAAAGAAGCCGGACTTAAAATTCACCAGGTTTAAGGCAGAACTCCGAGAATACGAGTTTGTAGTTGTTTACGGACCCTGAAAAAATAAACAAGGTACCAGATGCCTTGTATGGTAACCCGATGATAAAAGAAAAGGAGGGTGATCAAGAGCTGTTACGCTACAAGCTGTATAAGCTCGCGGATAAGCAGAGAGGGACAATCCCAAGGATTTTAACGCGCCAATGGCCTGCATACATAAGATGCGTAAAAGGAGACAGAGAAACTTTATACGAAAGAATGAGAAAGACAAAGTAGATACATCTGGCTCAAACGAAATGGATGAGAAAGTAATTTAAACAATAATCATTAAAGTTGGAGCAAGCAAAGCCAACATCTAATAAATCAACCAGTTGACTTTGAGCAAAAGTCTCGCTATATACTCTATACTTTTCGATTATGCCCGTCTTATCGAAAGTT